CCATCAGGCTCAGAACTACAGGGAAAAGGGCAAAGAAGGGGGTGGTTCCCAATCCCTGGGTCTCCCTGTGACTTAAGCTCTCCTTCTCTGAAATCCAGAGCCAGCAGAAGAAAGCAGTTCCAGTACTGCCTGGGCCCCCTATACTCTTTCCCAGGGTTAGGACTCTTCTTTATTTCGTGTAAGAAAGGCTCTGCCCCAGCCTAGGCCACTGCCTGAACCCCACGGAAAGCTTGGGCCTCACTGAGTCTGCTCCCCTGAGTGCTGGGGACAGGCAGTCAAATCCAAAGGATTTTGGGAGCAGGTCTCCCAGGGGCACTCAGAGAAGCTGTGAGAGAGGCTGTGAAACAGCAGACACTGAGGGGGAGGAGGAGGAGGAAGTGGCCCCTTTCCCTGGCTGGCCTGACAGACAGCTGTGGAGGCCCTCCTTCCTGTGAGGGACCAGGCCCAGGGCTCAGATCTTTGAGCCTCCCAGCTCCCCAAACCACAGCCCAGAGGTGTGAAAGAGAGAAAAAAAAAACAGGGGGAGGGGTGGCAGAGAAGAGACAGGTGCACATTTCACACCTTGACCACAGGTGGGGCCTAAGGCAGCTTCACTCTGACTAACTTCCTTCTCAAGCTTCCCCCCTGGCGGCTCAGAAGGCCAGAAGCAGAAGGGCACAGCCACCAGAACTCAGGGTGCAGGCCCCTGGCTAGGTGGGTCTTCCCCAGGACTGGGTCTGCTTGGGACCTGGTCTGGGGGCTTCTTGGGATACAAGCGGACCAAATTCGAGGGCCAGTTGAGGACTTGGCTTGGCACCATGACCCAGGCAACTTCTCAGGCATGTGAGCTGTGAGAGACAGCAGCAGCCCACTGTAGACCTGACCTTCTGTGGCCTTGGGAGGGGCTGATCTGGAAAGTTACTAGAAGGGGAGGAAACTGCTGCTCACTAGGTACTTTACTCTGTGCCACATGTATTGTTTACAGTTCACAGAACAGCCCTGACACATGTTTACTAGTTTTATCCCTACTTTCCAAATGAGGGAACCAAGGTAGAGAGGTAAAATAATTTGCCTAAGGTGACATAATGGCGTAGCCAGAGGATTAGACCAGGACTGGTCAAACCCTCCCAGCTAAGGCAAGAGGCAGCCTTTCAGAAGGATCCATCCTCCAACCATGTCCCTGCTGCGAAAAGGCTCCCAGCACTTCTGGGTTTGTGGCCAGTATCCCTCATACTCAACATTCTCTGCTCTGCTTCTGTTAATGGCTGACCCTGTGCAGTGGCCTCACAGCCTTGGTCATCTCAGATCATCTTGTAACAACTCTGCCAAGACCAGCTCAAAACTGTCATGTCATTGGTCCAAGGTCACACACCTTGAACAAGGCTGAGTCAGAGCTGGAGCCAAACAAATTCAGCATTTTTTCCATTCTTCCCACATCACAGGCTTCTCAGGTGGTGGTAGTGGTAAAGAATCCACCTGCCAATGCAGGAGAAGCAGGTTCAATCCCTGGGTTGTGAAGATCCCATGGAGAAGGGAATGGCTACCCGCTCCAGTATTCTTGCCTATAGAATTCCATGGACAGAGGAGCCTGGTGGGCTGCAGTCCATGCGGTCACAAAAATGTCAGACACGACTGAGCAAATGAGCCCGCACACACATACTGCATCTTGGCCACACAGGGAGCAGCAGGAACAGCCTGCCCCATAGCCTAGGCTAGCCTCTCAGGATATAGCCCAACTCAGAAAAGAAAGCACTCTGCCCCTTTCCAATGGTCTTATCTGAACTTCTCTTCTTCCTTTCCAGCAACCCAGGAAGGTGGGGAAAGTGGTCCCCATGCAGCAAATGAGGAGACTAGGACACAGGAAGGAGACCAGAGATCCATAGACTTTGAAATGTCACATGGACCTGTAGACTCCAACATGTGTCTGGAAGACCCACATCAAGTTGTCAACTTCTTCCAACACAAGGTATTTCTAAAACCGTTAACTATTGTCACCATCAATTCATAAAGAAAAGATTTTTCTAATACCAAAAAGCAGGTGAAGGGTATAAATGCAGAATACAAGAACTCCCTTTAAGTTGAACAGATAGAGCTCTTTGTTTTCCTCCTTTCTCTCATGCGTAGAAGCTCAGGGAATGGAAATTCTTCATGGGGTAGCATCGCAAACCATGGTCCCAGCTCCCCTGCCCCCACCCGCAGGCCGTTACCTGCCAAGTCCTGTCTTTCCTAACTGCCAAGGCTTCTGGAATCCTCCCACTCTCCTCTACTTGTGTTGCTCCTGACATCCTCCAAGCCTTTAGTTCCCTCTGGCCTGGATCCTGCAAGTGACAAGCTGCTTAGAGAGAGAATAGTCACATCTTCTGGCCACAGGAGGTGGGGAAGGGCCTTGCTGCCTCCCAAGTGTGCGTTTTGTCAGAAAGTTTCAGCTGAATTCCAGGCTCAGGTGACACAGTCTGACTGAAAACTGGACCCCAAAGCCATGGTCTCTGTCTCAATTTCTCTCTTCTCCCTCTCTCTCTCTCTGCTTTTCATCTGTGAGGAGAAAGGGAAACTGCTTGGAGAGGCAAAGGGCCACATTTCCCCTCTGTTAATGAGAGCAGGGAGGGGAGAAGAGGGCAGAGGGGGCACCAGGCTGGGTGGGGGAGGAACTTTTGCAGTGCACAGCTATAAAGAGACTGGTTTGCTCTACAAACGCTTTTACAGCTTTTCCTTAAAAAAAGAGATCCCCATGTACTCTTCCCCAACTCTATTCCCCTTCTCCTGCCCCAAAAGCAACTGCTCTCATGGATTTGTGGTGTGTTCATTCCCTACTTTAACCTTCTAAAACAAACAGCTGTATCCAAAACAAGATGGTATTGTTTTGTGTGTGTGGTTTTTCAAATTTACATAAGTAGTATCAAATGATACACAGGATTCTATAACTTGCTTCTTCCACTGTTGGTCATTGGCTTTTCTAGATGCCTCCATGTTAAAATATCTAACTTTTAGTTCATTTGTTTTTACCTGCATGAATACATCGCTGTTTATCCATCAAAAAACAACCGAAGGCAGTGTGAGGCAGAGTAAAAGGAGAGTCAGACAACTGAGTTCAATCCTAGCACCTACCCTTACTTGCTGTGTGTGTCTGGCAAAGCCCTCTCCCCTTTCTGGGTTAGCCACGGGGATACTGCCTACACAAGGGGCTTGTGTGGCTGGAATGAGGCAGTGTCAGAGAAAGTGCCTCAAGCAACACCCAGCACATAGCCAGTTCATTACTAGCAGTTCCCGTTCCTTGCTCCTGTTGATTAGCGGGGAGGGGCAATGGTGAAGGACTAGAATTTGTGTGTTGGGACTGCTCTCAAATATTTTCAGTTTTTAAGAAGGTTAATCTCCTTTATACAGTTAATACATTTAGCAACCCAGTCTACAATCGTGTGAGATGAACTTCAGCCCAGGACTGATGAGCAGTGGATCTTATCCCTGGCAGCAGGGCTGCCCTGCCCCTGTCAGCTACCTGCTTCTCCCTCAGAGGAGAGAGCTCCTCAAAGCACCTACCCATGCCCCACTGCCCCAGCCTTTCTGGTCCCAGGCTTATGGCCAACTCCCAGAGCAGCTACCTTGGGCCAGGGGGATGGTGAGGTAAGGACCCCGTGGCCTCAGGTCTAAGGAGGTCTGGTGTAGATAACCCCATGGAAGAGGCTGCTGCTGAGAACTGCGTGAAACCCTCACTTCCTCTGTATAGTGTAGGTTCCTGACCACAAGCACCAAAGCAGAGGGGCAGGCAGCACGCGGCCCAGAAGCTAGCATACCAGCCCAGCCATGGTCCCCGAGGTAAGTGCCGCTGCCCAACCAGGCCAGACCATAGTTATGAGTGGAGAGTCTAGGACATGAGGGGACCTTCAGGACTGGCCCAGAAGTCAGGGCCACCAGAGGGTTGGGTGAACAGGTACAGAATGCAGGGACTGTATAGAAGCAGCACAGGACGGGGTATTCGGAAACCACCTTGGCCACTGACTTGCGAATGACCACAGGCAAATCCCTCCCCTTTCTGGCTTTGGTGCCTCATCTGCAAAATGCATGAGGTTGAGGCTCACCCCTCACGGCCCCCAAGGCTCCCTTCAGCTCTGACTTGGAACTTTGATCTTCTGTGCTGGACTGAATTGGCACCTGGGAGACCCACAGCTCTGGGATGGTTTGTGGGGAGGTGGGGGAAGGGGAGAAGGAATATTTCTACTAGAGCTTGGTGGGAGAGCCACCCAACTTGGTGGGTGGCAAGCCTCAGTGTAGGGGAGGGGAAAGACAGGAGCAGAAACTTGTGTTGGGGGACCGTAGTGATTTGTAGAGGGGCCCCATGGTGGGCAGGAAGTTGGGGTCCCCAGGCAAGGTCTGAGGAGGGAACAGGAGGGCCAGTGACTGGGAGAGGGGACTGTGGGGAGGTGCCTGGGGAGGAAGGTGTTGGAACTAGGCGTGGCCAGGAACTGAGGACCATAAGCCATGAAGAAAGAGTGAGGAGAGAAGGGGCAGGGAGGGCTTGGGACAGAAAGGAAGCTCTCCCTCTGGTTCACAATCTCTGTGCCGATGGGATGACCCAGAAGGGAGAGAGAGAAGCAGGCTTGAGAAGGGAAGTTATCAGCCCAGCACTCAGGCTGGGCAGATGGAGCTCAGAGGGTGTGGTTTGGAAGTAAACGCAGGACAGTTGCAGCCTGAAGCCCAGGCCTCTGGGCCTGCCTCATAGAGGAGCTGCTTTACGAAAGGTTCCTCAGACTAAATCTTCAAGGAGTGACTTTTGTTTAATTGAAGTATAGTTGATTTACAAGGTTTCAGGTGTACAGCAAAGTGATTCAGTTATGCAGATATATATATGTATTCTTTTTCAGATTCTTTTCCATTATAGATAAGCTACAAGCTACTTAGTTCCCTGTGCTATACGGTAGGCCCTTGTTATTTATCCGTTTTACATAGTATCTGTTCATCCCAAATTCCTACTCAAAAGAGTAACTTCCAAGGCCTTCACACACTCTGTGCCCTCCCTCCCTCCACAGATGAGTGAACGCCAAGAGTTCCAAGCCTCCGAGTTTGCCTACCTCCTGGAAAACTCTTCCTATGACTATGGAGAAAATGAGACCTACTTCTGCTGTACTTCCCCACCCTGCCCACAGGACTTCAGCCTCAACTTCGACCGCACCTTCCTGCCCGTCCTCTACAGCCTCCTCTTTGTGCTGGGGCTTCTGGGTAACGGTGTTGTGGCAGCCGTGCTGCTGAGCCAGAGGGCGGCCCTGAGCAGCACCGACACCTTCCTGCTGCACTTGGCCGTGGCCGACGCACTGCTGGTGCTGACACTCCCTCTCTGGGCAGTGGATGCGGCCATCCAGTGGGTCTTTGGCTCTGGCCTCTGCAAAGTGGCAGGTGCACTCTTCAACATCAACTTCTACGCAGGGGCCCTCCTGCTGGCCTGCATCAGCTTCGATCGGTACCTGAGCATTGTGCACGCCACCCAGCTCTACCGCCGGGGTCCCCCGACTCGCGTGGCCCTCACCTGTGTGGCAGTCTGGGGGCTCTGTCTGCTCTTTGCACTCCCAGACTTCATCTTCCTGTCCTCCCACCATGACAACCGTCTCAATGCCACCCACTGCCAGTACAACTTTCCACAGGAGGGCCGCACGGCTCTGCGTGTCCTGCAGCTGGTCGCAGGTTTCCTGCTGCCCCTGCTGGTCATGGCCTATTGCTACGCCCGCATCCTGGCTGTGCTGCTGGTCTCCAGAGGCCAGCGGCGGCTCAGAGCCATGCGGCTGGTGGTGGTGGTGGTGGTGGCCTTTGCCCTCTGCTGGACCCCCTACCACCTGGTGGTGCTGGTGGACACCCTCATGGACCTGGGGGCCTTAGCCCGTAACTGCGGCCGAGAAAGCAGTGTGGACATAGCCAAGTCGGTCACATCGGGCATGGGCTACATGCACTGCTGCCTCAACCCGCTGCTCTACGCCTTTGTGGGCGTCAAGTTCCGAGAGCGGATGTGGGTGCTACTCACGCGTCTGGGCTGCCCTGACCAGAGGGGCCACCAGCGGCAGCTGTCAGCTTCCCGCCGGGATTCATCCTGGTCTGAGACCACAGAGGCCTCCTACTCAGGCCTGTGAGGCTGGGATGGGGATACCCCTCCACCTGCCACATTCCAGGCTCTTCCCTCACTCACTTCCCCAACACACACTCCTGGGAGTCCCCCATGGCCCTAGTCTCCCAGGGAGCCACCCTCCTGGCTCTGAGCGTTCTGCCATCACTGCTCCTTAGCCGCCCAGCCCCATCCCGCTTCAGAGGTGGCCACCTTCAGGCCCTTCTTACCTTGGCTGTGCAGAACCCCACCACCCTCCCAACTCTGTTAACTAGGCCTCAGCCTTCCCCATGTGCAGGAAGCATGAGGCAAACAGTGTAACGCTCTGCAGTGACTGGCAGAGGTTTCTGAGACCTCTGTATTTGCTCACTTTGACTTTTACATGTAAAACTCTGCTTCAAACTTTTCAATAAACAAGCTAAACAGGACCATGGTGTGTTAGTGCATCATTATAGCCAGCCCTGCCCAGCCTCTGGGGATGCTCTTCCTGCTTCTCCTTGTCTGGCCCTGGGTTTGTGCCAACCAGTGCTGCCTGTCTCCCCTCCTCTGACCTCTTGGGTACACCAATCACTCACAGGGTGAGTGGGTGCAGGGTAAGCAGTTAGTCGACCAGCTGGCTAGATAATGTCTAGGCATAATTTGGGGAAGGGGCTTTCAGATATAAGTAAGAGTCCCTGCACTCCAGAAGCTTAGACTGACAAGGAAGATGTGTAGGTGACTACCAAGCAGTCTATGCCACGAGGCAAATGTGTGGCACATGTTCAGAGTACTGCAGCAGGAGCCATTTGGGAAGACTTCTTGGAGACAGAGAAATGAGCAGAACTTAAAGGGCAAGTAGTATTTCCTGGGCAAAGAGAAGGAAAGATGGTATTTCCAGGCAGATGGGAGGGTAGTATACCAAAGGTGGGAAGGCTGAAAACAGTGCTGCTTAATGGAGGAACGGTAAGTGGTCCAAACTGGCTAGAATTAAGGGTTCAGATAGAGAAAGGATTGAAAAGACTCAAAGTTAGTTTGGGACCCAGGTGATGGCATCACAGGTTACAAGGCTGTAGTGGCTATTCATGTTAGAGATGACACAGGCTCTTACTAAGAAAAACAGCAGTGGGATTGGAAAAAAAGGATAGGGCAATGACTTGACAACACATGTGTGGGCTGCAGGGAGCACCTTCTTGTAGCTATAGCTGGGGTGGGAGTGGAGGAAACTATCAGGGTTCCCCAGGAAGGCAGATGACACGGCTATTGAGTTAAGCAAAGGGTTGGACCCTTCTTTGGCAGGGGTAGAACCACTGCACTGTGAGTTCTCCCAGATGAAGTCACCAGTGTGCCATGATCCAGTTTCACAGGCCAGCTGGGCCTTTGCTGAGACTGCAGATATAGCTGGGGGTGGGGTGGGTGGGACTGGAGAAGGACCCAACGATTTAGCTAGGGAAACTCGCACTACCCTGTGCATATACCCAATCCCATCTAGACTTGTGCTTAGACTTCAGTTTGTGGCCACTGCAAGAACACTCTCAGCATCTATAAAACGAAGGAAAGATGGGAAGATGACAGAATAACACATCCTGCCTATAAGAAGTATCAGTGATGCTAGACTAGTAAAGATGTTTGGGGCAGGGTGAATAACAAGTTCACAAATGTCCACACTCTAATCCCTAGAACTTGTGAATGTGTTACTATGTTACCTTATTTGGCAAAAGGAAATCGAGATTTTCCTGGATTTTCTGGGTGAGCCCAATATTATCACAAGGGTCCTTAAAAGGGAAAGAGGAAAAAAAATGGGAAAGAGGGAGGCAGGAGAGAGAGTCAGAGAAAGAGATGTTGCTGGCTTTCAAGAGAGAGGAAGAGGGCCACAAACCAAGGAATGCAAGTAGCCCCTGGCTGCTGGGAAGACAAGGAAACTGATTCCCCCCAGGGCCTCCAGACAGGAATGCAGCCCTGCCCAAGTCTTGAGGTCTGAGGTCTGCACCAGACTTCTGACCTCTTGAGATGGAAGATAATACATTTGTGTTAAGTCACTAACCTCCTGGTAATGTTTTGGCAGAAATAACAAACAAGTACAACACTGATTCCAGTCTATATTCCAGACACCTCCCCAAAGTGGGGAGGTTAAGTGCTTAAGGGAAGTCACAAAAATCCAAGAGAAACCCCAAGTGGAGGCTGTTCTTCCAGACACATCCTCGAAAGCTTATGAAATCAGGGGTCTTGGACAAAAGACCTAAGGGTTTGTTCTGCTCTGGACATGGGTTGTCAATGAACAGACTTTGCCAACAAGTGAACTGCAGAAAACATTTTTATTCTATGAACAATCACATTGCTTAGGTGGCTTCTTTTTTATTTTATAAACAAATACACTGGCTCAGATGACTTCATACAATATCAAAAGCAACTCAATTGTGAAGCACATTTCTCTTATTTCTATGTAGGTGTAACAGGTTCCATCAGACAGAAGCCTTGGTTTTGAAGTACTGCCTTTAAAACATGTTCTCTTTACAACATCTCTTTCCTTCTCTCAACCTGCCACTCTCAAACACTCATTTCTCTTTTGCATTTTGTTCCACATGTTTGCATTTTGTTCTACATGTTTTGCATTTTGTTCTACATGTTTGCATTCCATTCTACATGTTTTGCATTTTGTTCTACAAGTTTGCATTTTGCTCTACATGTTAAGAATAGTATATAAGTAAGATCCAAGGTAGATCCAAAGGGCTTTTGAGTATCAGCACAAAATGGGTAGCAACAGAACCCTTGGTGAAGAACAATCATCATTAACAACAGGAAGCTTTTTTCAAACAATTTAAATTCTAATATTCATAGCTTCATAGCATCAAATATATCTTTCTAAAACCCTCACTAACAGATGAAGCCAAAGATGACTCATCTCACACAGATACATTCTCAGATAACCTCAAAGACCCTGACTTTGTTTTTTGGCAATAAAATCCTTGCTAAGCTTTCTCATCACATCCCCATGACTTATCCCTTCTGTCTCCTTCTTAACTTTTCTGTAATTCTCCTGTACATATTTGGCAAATGGCCTCACGTGGGGCTGAATGGGGGTTCCATCCTTCCGAGTTAGTGGCAACAAGACCAGAGAGCCTGTGCACTTGGCACACATGAAGCGGGTGGTATCCAATGATCTGCTGTAGCGCCCAACCCTAAGGAGGAAAGAGACACCACACAGCAAAGGAATCAGTTACTGGACCTCCACATCTTCTCAGAGCTGCTGGCCTTGGGTCCAAAGCCAGACGTTTTCTGTGGAATCTCAGAAAGTGGGACACCAGGAAGGGGCTGTGGTCAGGCCAGCTCAAAGCAGAAGAGAATGGAGAAAGAAGACACAGAAAGGTGTAGAGAAGTTTTACTCCTCAAGTCAGATAGCCATGTACTTCCTGAAGAGCCATGTGGAGGCCAGAGTAAAAACATAATTGGAGAAAAGTCTAAGAAGGGTCTTACCTGGATTTGCACTGAGTACACTCGTAATAAATCTTGTAGTTAATCTTGTAGTTATGGCAACGGGTGACCTTGGGCAACTCCGGGTGCACCATATTCAATTTTCGGGCATAATACTTCCACATGTCACCATGAGAATCACAGACGCCATCGAGCAGCCAGCAGGCTGCATGGCATACCTCATGGATCAAAGTGTCTCGGAGTCGGTCTTAGAAAAGGAATGGAAAGAAATCCTGAGCTTTAAACCAATTACCCCTGGTCTGTTACCCAACCACCCCTAGACTCTCCACCCGGCCAGACCCATAAGCATACGTGGGCAGGAAGAAACGTTATCTCCCCAGGATTCTGAAAGTGAAATTTCAACCTACTTCAACCCAATTTTGTTAATGGCAGAAAGCCTCAGGTGAGCAAGTTTTTTCAGAAAAGCTCCAGTGTGCTCTTTTTGTGGGACACTGCTACAAATACATCCAGCTGAGACCCAGTCGCCACCCTCCAAGAACATCAATGGGGTTTGGTCAGGAGAAGCTCCATGGAAAAGCCAGGCAATTAACAATTGGCTGGATTGGCAAAATTATCAAGGCCTTTCTAGATGTGGTGGGAAAAGTGAGTCAAGGTTGGGATGAGGAAAGTGTGCAGTCTATTATCAAAGCCAGCGTGAAGAAAGGCTGGCTAAAGCACAGGTGGAGTAGTGAGAGACAACACTGGCCAATGGATGGGGGCAAAGTACAATGGCCTCATAAGCCATACCCCAGGCATTGGCAAGCCTGAGGTTTCCTATCAGGAAATCCACATAGCAGGGAGAAAAATGAGGTGATAAGGATCCACAGCTGGGCAAAGGCAAAGACAGAGAAGGAATGATAATAGGAGAGTCATTATGAACATCCAGTGATAGGCTAGATATAGGGACCCTTGAACTTGTTACTGAGAGAATGGAGATAGTGCCGCCTGCAACGGGGAGCTGCAGAAAGTAAGTTAGGCCCGGCAGAAATATGGACAAACTAGACTCTCAGTGGTGGTGAGACATCCAATAATAATGTCCTCTAAGCAACACACAGTAGACCTGTCCACACAGGAGTGATAGGGAACGCTGTGATACAGGTGGCCAGAGAACACCAGCACCCAAGAGTAACCCTTCAGGTGTGAGAAGGAAGCACGGCAGAGGAGCTACCCTACTCCCACCATCACCTGCAGAGTCGCAGACTTTCAGAGAAATCCGAATCTTAGCATAACGCTGTCTCTTAGGGTATCGAAGCTTGCCAGTGGTGCATAAGCCAGCACATCTCAGCATCTTTTTGCTCCAGCCAATGTCAATTTTCTCCGGCATCTGAGAACAAAAAGCAAACAAGAACAAGTCAAAAAGCAGTTCTAAGCAGACCAGAAAATATCAACTCAAGAGCTTTGCATATCTAACATTCTGGGGAGAATAAAATGTAAACTGAAGCCCAGGTAAAGACAAGATTGTTGCAAGAATATGAATGCAGAATCTCTGCTCCCTTGCATGGAGACAAAAAGTCAGAGGCAGCCAAGGAAAGAACAACACTTCTGCTGGGCTAGCAGACAGAGACCATGCATGAGAGCCATGAGACATGACTAAAAATGCAACTCAGAATACTTAAGGTTCCACTCAACAGAGTCATCTGATGTAACACCACTGTCATCAGGAAGGGCTCCAAAAGTTGGGGAACCTTTAGAAAGAACTAAGAACTTTCCATACAGAAAGTTTTGTCACCAGTGAAATAAAGTCTGAAAAACCTAATGACCACAGGTCTCGCTGCCTCCAGATTCTCTCCGATCCAGTCCACACCCCCATGCTACTGACAAAACCATTTCTTTCAGCAGCCACTCCATGTTATATTATATTCCTGGGCAGTGTTGCCTACTGATTTCAATTTAAGTTCCCCCAACCTGATTCCCAAGACCCTCTATTAACCAGGCCTACACCAGCTAACATGTATTGCTCACCATATCATATGCCCTGTTCTAGGTACTTCAGGGGGATTCACTTACCAGGCCTAAACAGTAATTCTGTGTAGTAGGCAGGAGGTACACTACTACTGCCCCCACTTTACAGATGAGCAAACAAAGGTTCAGTAACTTGCCCAAGGTCCCATAGCTCTTTCCTAGTATCCTTAACACAAACCCTCTCTTCCAGATAGTCAAGCCTCAACACTTGTCATCTCCCCAACCACTGCTGTTCTCTCCTTACCATCCTTCAAGACCCAAAACAAGTCTCAATCCCTCCAGGCAATCCTATTTCCCAACTGCTCAGGCTCTCAGTGATTTCTCCCTCTGCTGATCGCCTGTGGTAGTAACAGTCTGGACCATATACTATAACCCACAAAACATTCTGTTTCTTTCACATATGCATGTCTCATCTCCCCTCCCCATCTAAACTCACACTTCTCAAGGGCAGGAAATATACAGTTAGTACACCTAACTGCACACCTCCCAGCACCCAAGAGAGCTGGGCATACAGTAAGTGTTCAATAGGTGCTTATTCACTGAATCTACCTTTTGATCAAAGACAGAGCTGTTAAGCAGACTGTAGATTTTCTGAATCAGTTCATCCTTATTTTGTTTGTAATTCTTTCCAGAATACCGCTTTAAGTTTTCAAGGTCATGAAAGAAACATCCAGGTATTTTGCACTGAGAATTCCTGTAAAAGTAAATTCAGCTGAGTTTTATAGAGCGAAAGAAATAAATAGAAGAAATGCATATATACAGGTCATGTCAAGAGAGACTTAGAAGACTCACTGGTCTCTCTTCCTTCCAGCTCCTGCTACGAGGGCATCTCCTATAAGGTTCCATTCATAGCCTTTTCCTCTTCATTCCCCACACACTGTCTGAGATGTGAAGCCCATGGATCCAACCCCAACAGGAGCGATCCCATACCTGGATCTGCCGTCTCCACCTCTCTCCTAAGATCTAGTTCTGAGTTTACAATTGCCCAGTGCAAATTTCCAACCAACTAACCTGAGTATGTCTCCAGCTACATGTATTTAATTGTCCAACTTCTGTTATAACAGGCTGAAAACCTGAGACATTTTAAAATCCATTTTCTCCTTCACCCCATATTTAACTAGGCACAAAGACAGATCACTGTCTGCTTCACATCATCTCTTCCAGCCAGCCTCTCCTTTCCACCCTGTTGTCATCACCCTAGGTCAAGTTCCTGTCCTCTTCTCTATGCCTTGCTACTATAACATCCCACTGTGTTCCTTACCTACAGGCTCTTTTTCTTCTAATCCAACCACACACATACACCTTCAGATGAATTTTCCCAGGCCATGTTCCAGTGATGTCCCTCTTTGTGTGGCCTAACATTTAAGGCCCAGGTCAACCTGGTTCCAACCTCTATCTCCAGCTACCATTTCCACTCTGGCCAAAGTGAGCAACTTAAATGTTCCCAGGACATGGACTGACATTTCGCATAGTTCATTCATACCTTGGCAAAACCTACTTGTCCATGGCCTAGAATGGTCACACCTCCACTTCTCCGGAGACCCACCCTCTGTGGAGCGCTTCATCATTTGCCAAGAATTTCTTTTTTACATCATAATATTTAATCCTCACACCATCCTCCAAAGAAGCTACTACTATTCTTACCATTTCCACTTGGCACATGACAAAACAAAAGTTCAGAAGTTAAATGACTTACCCAAAGTTCACAGACACTGAATATACTGACCCAAATCTCATGGTCTTTCCATTAGACCACTATTGCTATCCTATCTTTCAAGGCATAATTCAAATGCACAAATAGTGCAAAAAAAAAAAAAAAAGAATAGTGCAGAGCCCATAAAAAAAACACACTTGTAATAACTATTTATTTAAACTGAAGCATTTTAATCTTGGCTTGGACAATCCACAAATCCAAAGAGATCAGCCCACAGAGCTGAAAAGATAAACCACTAGCAAACATAGGAAGTGTTTCTGACTTAATAGAACTCCTGAAACGGAGATTTTGCCAAGACACTTGTTACCCCTTAAGTCACAAAATAAAACCCTATGAGAGGTGCCCGGGTTGCAGGTGGGGGAAAAGTACCAGACAAGACAAAGGCAGCTAAAGTAAGGATCTTTCACCCCAAAACCTGATATGGGTGACTAACATTTCTGCCTCCAACTATTTAGCTCTGAAAGCAAATTTGCATCAGAAAAGGTGGCAGATAAAAACCTAAACCCTCTACAGACCTCAGCAGAGAGCATGACCCTTGCATGTGTCTATGGTCATGTCAAGCAGCTTGTGACTTAGCAAGCCTTCACTTCAGTGGTGATGCCACTCTACTGTAGGCTGAGCATCTCCACATCAGAGGAACCAACAAGACCCCGGACGGGTACATCAGACACCAAAACCAGCCAGCAGCCTCCACAGGAACAATGCTGAGAACAGGAAGCCTACAGACTGAAACAGGAAGCAGCAAGGCAACAGTGAAAAGTCTAAACAGGCCAGCCTTCTTTGGATGAGGCAGAGGACAACGACACAAAGGAGTAGCTTCTTCCTTCATTCGTCACATTCTGTAGCAAAGCAACCTGGGACCTACCCAAGACACGTGTCTCTAGAAGCAAATCAGCTTAAATATAGATCTAAGAATCCAGAGAAGAAGCTTTGCTAAAAGGGGGCCCATCTAAGAAAGGGCAGGCCAAACTGAAGAGAAATGCAGAAACAGCCTCTCTACTCAAATCCAGTTTCTCTGTTGCCCTCACGCCTGACATATCATTTTTCTTCTCCCCTTAAGATGCATTTATTGCCCTAAAATACAGGTAAAAAAAGAAACATACAGTCCTTCAAATATACCCCTTCTTTTGTAACATAATTCAGATGGAAGTATACATTATTCCTGAAGGCAAGTTAAAAAAAAAAAGTATGTTCACTCTATCACATTTTTAAGAGAAAAAGTGAAGTTCCTGGAATCTAAGTGAGGAAATGCATTAATTTTTTTTGCTTCCTTCGAGCATTAACATGTCTTCGGTCTAAATGACCTGCTGTTTTCACTACCAATATAATATATAACAATATAATACCAGTATCAATATATATGTAATATATAGCTTAATAAATGTAAATGGACTACAAGCAATCCCTTTCACCCTAACATTTAAGATATAAAAATTAGCAAGACTATATAGGTAGTAAGAATAAGGGTTCATATAAAATAGATAATCAACAAGGATCTACTATACAACTCAGGGAACTATACTCAATATTATGTAATAACATCTAAGGGGAAAGAATCTGAAAATACACCCACCCACCCACCCACACACACACTGAATTGCTATGCTGTATACCTGAAACTGAGATGATATTGTAAATCAACTACACTTCAATTTAAAAAAATTTTTTTAAAGAGTAAGGGTTCATCTGAAACCCTGGAAGATAATCTTGACTGCCTCCCCCCAATTCCAATGGATGGGAACACATTCATTCTGCTTTCTCACCATTCCTATTGCCTTTGTTTTTAGTTCTGTGAAGTGATGGCCACAGGGCTGTATCTAGCCTGAAAAAAAGGATCTTGTTTGGCTACACATCATTTAAACAATCTGAATTTAAAGACAAAGGAAATCTCAGAGGCCAGAGCTGCTGTGGGGGGTAAAAGCTCCAGTCTGCCCAGAACTGGTAGGTTCTATGTGGAGCACTCACACCAGCTCTGCTAGGGAGAGAGAAAAAGGGGGCACAGAGGTTCCTCCTCTCCCCACCTTCCTCCTGCTGCTGAGTCTATCCTCCCAATTCAGGGATCTAAAACTTGTCCCATGCTGCCCACCAGACCTCTTCACCCCCTCAAAGACCCTCCCCAGTGACCAGTGAATGGCTTCACATGTGACAACTGTGCAGTCAATTCCTGAGCCACTGACCATGAGCAGTACATACCCACGCTTGGATTTTTCAAATTTCACTGTCTCGGGTTTCTTCTTTGAAGGCTTACGCTTCTTTCGTTCTTTAACAGCTGAAAAGATAAATAGTTCATCCATACCCTGAAAATTGGTACCAACTGGCAACTAACAGGAAGATAAACCCAGGAGAGAGGCCCCCACAGACAAGCCCAGAGTAACATTTTAGTGTTGATAAAAACTAAAAAGGATAAACCAAAAGCTTCTCTCTGAAGCATGCATCCTGCTCTATTAGTTGGCAGGAAAGATTTTACCTACATGAGTCACAGAGCTGCAGGAAGATTAAGTGGGGCAGGATTCTATCCTAGGCACTGAGGACTATTATGAAGCTACATGAATATACCACAGAAGGTTAGATTGTGGGGGCAACGGAGGCACAAGCAGTATAAGAAATGGTGCAGCAGAGCTCACACACTTGCTTTGAGAAGGGTGGTTCCCATCCTAGGCAGCACCCTTATCCAGTATGCAAGCCAAATTTTCTCTCCTTTGTCTAGTACCCATACTGCTAGTTGCTCTAACTAGAAATTCATGTATCAGTGGAAAATTCTTAAAGAGATGGGAATACCGGACCACTTGAACTGCCTTCTGAGAAATCTTCATGCAGGTCAAGAAGCAACAGTTAGAACTGGACATGGAACAAACTGGTTCCAAATCAGGCAAGGAGTACGTGAAGGCTGTATATTGTCACCCTGCTTATTTAACTTATATGCAGAGTACATCATGAGAAATGCCAGGCTGGATGAAGCACAAGCTGGAATCAAGACTGCCAGGAGAAATATCAATAACCTCAGATATGCCGATGACACCACCCTTATGGCACAAAGTGAAGAACTAAAGAGCCTCTTGATGAAGGTGAAAGAGAGTGAAAAAGTTGGCTTAAAACTCAACATTCAGAAAACTAAGATCATGGCATCCAGTCCCATCACTTCATGGCAAATAGATGGGGAAACAATGGAAACAGTGACAGACTATTTTTGGGGGCTCCAAAATCACTGCAGATGGTGACTGTAGCCATGAAATTAAGATGCCTGCTCCTTGGAGGAAAAGCTATGACCAACCTAGACAGCATACTAAAAAGCAGAGACATTACTTTGCCAACAAAGGTCTGTCTAGTCAAAGCTATGGTTTTTCCAGTAGTCATGTATGGATGTGAGAGTTGGATTATAAAGAAAGCTGAGAACCAAAGAATTGGTGCTTTTGAACTGTGGTGGTTTTTTGTTTTTATTTTATTTTTTTTTATTAGTTGGAGGCTAATTACTTTACAATATTGTAGTGAGTTTTGTCATACATTGACATGAATCAGCCATGGATTTACATGTGTTCCCCATCCCGATCCCCCCTCCCACCTGCCTCTCTGCCCGATCCCTCTGGATCTTCCCAGTGCACCAGGTCCGAGCACTTGTCTCATGCATCCAACCTGGGCTGGTGATCTGTTTCACCCTAGATAATATACATGTTTCAATGCTGTTCTCTTGAAACATCCCACCCTCGCCTTCTCCCACAGAGTCCAAAAGTCTGTTCTATACATCTGTGTCTCTTTTTCTGTTTTGCATATAGGGTTATCATTACCATCTTTCTAAATTCCATATATATGTGTTAGTATACTGTAATGGTCTTTATCTTTCTGGCTTACTTCACTCTGTATAATGGGCTCCAGTTGGAGAAGACTCTTGAAAGTCCCTTGGACTGCAAGGAGATCGAACCAGTCAATCCTAAAGGAAATCAGTCCTGAATATTCATTGAAGGACTGATGCTGAAGCTCCACTACTTTGGCCACCTGACATGAGGAACTGACTCATTGGCAAAGACCCTGATGCTGGGAAAGATTGAAGGCAGGAGAAGGGGATGACAGAGGATGAGATGGTTGGATGACATCACCGACGTGATGGACATGAATTTGAGTAGGCTCCGGGAGTTGGTGATGGACAGGGAAGCCTGGCAAGCTGCAGTCCATAGGGTCGCTAAGAGTCGGACACGACTGAGCGACTAAACTGAACTCGCTAGAAATTCATGTATTTAGGAGGTAGTGCCCTTCGTTCATTTATCTAAAAAAGTTATTAAACATCTATTACATGTCAACTACCAGGCTAGACTTTGGGAGAGACTAAAAGATGAGTGAGAACCCTCTCACCAAGAGGCTCACTATTGGGACTTCTCTGGTGGTCCAGTGGTTAAGACTCTGTGCTTCCACTGCAGAAGACAGGAGTTTGATCCCTGGTCAGAGAAACAAGACCCCAGATGCTGCACGGTGCAGCTAAGAAAAAAGAAAAGAAGGCTCACCATCGACTAGGGGGACAGATTCAGAAAGATACTTAACACAGTTATGTAAGTTCTCTTACTACTGATGAAGTCTGGGAACTTTGGGAACCTGGGAGGGAGCAGCACCTCAGACTTATAGCTTCCTACAGCAAAGCAGCAATTAGGCCGGGGAGCATGAGGACAACAAGGCCATCCGTCCCCCTCCTCAGAAAGAGCCTTTTCACTGTGATGGCTGCCACTCTTGGCCACTAGAGAGCTGCTGAAACACGGCAGAGGGTTAATAAGCAAGACAGACTCTACAAGACAGACATATCTCAGGGAAAGAGCACAGCGAAACTGGATGGCACACTTGTTGCACTAGGCTTAGTCAGTGGGACAGACACACTTGGTTTTGATTGGCTTACCAGGTGGCACAGTTATGTTTTTGGTTTTATATTTCCTTTTCCTTGGTTGTTCCACGACAGGCATAGGCTTTCCATTAGTTGACAACTTTCTATCTAAAATCTCTGGTTTAGCTTTACGATCATTTGGCAGCTGGTGGTGATTCTTCAGAAGATTCTGCTTACCAGCTACAGAAGATAACTTGTGCTGGGTAACAGTAAACTCATCCTCCTTTTCCTTTTTTTTGACAATTTTGTCCTGATCACACGAACCATCTTTTATCACCACAGGGTTCTCCAAATCATCATCTTCATCATCAAGGATACATATTGGAGACTCATTGGTCAACTGCTTACTAGTGCCAGAAAGTTTCTTACTCTCATCTGAAATTCAAAATACAATCATGTATAAACATACTCCCCCAACCCTCACATCCCCCCTCAACTTCAGATTATTGAGCACAAATTAAACAAGCCAGGAACTGTGGTATAATGAATCATAGTTAAGAATCAGTTATTTTATTCGACTGTTTTCCCTCTGCTACTTTATTTTACTGAGAACAGTGACAGATAAAATAGCAATTCAAACCCAGAGTCAATTTTCAAATCACATTCTCTGAGTAGCACCATGGAGGTGCTCAGGGGTTCCCACAGGTCTGAAACTTGTATGTTTTCACTGGACCAAAGCAAAACAAAAAAAGAAATGAGAATAATAAAGTGGGTTCTCCCTGCGAATCAAGCCTGGTTTCTATAACTTAAAGGAGTGTACTTTGAGATTATGTCATCATTAAACTTTTGGTGCTCTTTATGAAATTATGATGACAGATGATAGTTGGAGTTTATTTCCATCATTAGACAAATTAAAAATTCACAATCCTTTGTTATCCCCCAAAATTTCTTTCTTAAACTAGCCCAATAAGTCCAAAGCTCTCAGAACCACTGATGTGAAAATAAGGAGATAAGTTCTGATGCCAGCACCAAGAGGCCCTGGGGACACCGGGATTGTCCCCAGCCTCATGGAGGACCCATCCCTTCATCTGGAAACAAGGGGCAGCATGCCTAAAACACAAGCTGTCTGCGTTCTTCTCAGAGTTCAGCATCTAGATTTCTAGGATTCTGGATGTAAAAAATATAAATCACAGCACGAACAAGTTATAAAAATGTGTTTATGGTGCAAAAACTCTTTATCCTAAAATTCCATATTTGGGATAATGTATTTTGAGTTTCATCTATGATTTAAATTAATTATCAAAGAACTTAAAAAAAAAACCTGAAGATATGCAGTAAGGAAAGAAAAAGCAGTGGGTGTTCCTACGGGAAAAAAGTCATCCTTCCTAGAAGATTTAAAGATTTCCCAAATACAACTTAAATTCTAACAAGTAGGGACAAAAATGAACAAATTTATAAAACAGAAACACTCACAGACCTAGAAAACAAACTTCTGGTTACAAAAGTGGAAAGAGGTGGGCGAGGGAGGAAAGCTAAATTAGGAGTTTGGGATTAATGTATACACACTGCAATGTGTAAAATGGATAACCAACAAAGACCTACTGTATAGCACAGGGAACTATATTCAATGTCTTGTAATAAACTGAAATGGAAAATAATAGAAAAAAGGAATGTGTGTGTGTGTGCAACCTAAACACTTTGCTATGAAACTAACACACCTGAAACTGACACAATATTGTAAATCAACCAGATTTATGGATCTTCTGATTAAAGGAGTCAGCAACTGACTTTGGCTTTGTCATTCAGGCCCCTACTCTAAAGCTACTTCCCCTGGGGCTCTGTGTACATTGCAGAAGCTTGTCATGTTACACCCCCTACTCTGCACCTGGACCTCTGCCCTGCTCAGGCAATCCACCCAGAACTAGAGAGAAGGGGAAAAAAGAAATCAGATGGGACAGGTGATGAAACAGTAGGAGATGAGGGTTCCTAGCCACCTATCACTTCCCTGCTCTGATATCCCAGGTTAACTAGCAGAATCTGGCCAATGCTAGCTCGGGGGGTAGTTACCAAAGTAGCAGCCAGTATTTTTAAGGGTGTCAGTACTTTAAGCAGGTGCCTGTGTCTCTTGCCCTATGTCAGGTTCTAAGCAAATGGAGATCAGTAAAATACTATCCCAAAGGTTTAAGAAGCTCCTAGTCTTCCTCTGTCTCAAACCCACTGAACAGGTTCTGAATTGCAAGTAAAACTCCACACCTCCTGAAAGGTGATGAGGGCCTCTGAATTCAAAGAGGCAAGGATCTGTTATGGCAAATACACACTAAGAAAAACAGGACTCTAGAAAATAGAAAGAAGGTAGCAAAAGGCAAAGACAAACAGCTAGACAGAGAAAAACAAGCGTACCCCTGAGAAGTCACCACCAGCTAGCCTGTAAGCCTCACATGTCCTAATCTTCGCCAGGTTGGAAAGAATGAGTCCGTTCCTCCTCCCTGTCATCTACACACAGAGAGAGATGAAGAGTAGAAGGCAGAAGAGCAGGGCAACCTTCATGCTGCTCAAGGTGAGTTCCTAACTTCCTCTGCTCCTGCAACATAATGGGTAAGAACTCTACAGAGGGTGATGTCTGGGTTCTATGGCAGCAGGAACAGCTGCTGCTCTGTTAGGAAATTAACCAGGGAGTGCAGGGGACCCAGCCATATCCACATCCAGCACATACGAAGGAAAAACAGTGGCACTCGCTACGAAATGATTCAAAACAGAATGTTTGCCGACTCTCATCCTGAGATGACTGTGCCTGGTGAGGCTGCACTGCACAGCTCTTTCTCTTAGTTAGTAGTATACTTGCCTTTGCTACTTTTGTCATGTATCTTAAGTCTCTTTTTCTCAGGGAGGTAGTCATCATCAGAGCCTGAGTCAATCACAATGCAGCTGAGTGACCGGAGAGAGAAAAACAAAAGCATGAAAGCAACATTCTTCTTTTCATGGCATTTTCTATTATACTTTTCTCCAGCGAGCAAAATCACTTTGAAATGATTTTGTTGGTTTCCCAAAGTAACTGTTCCCCTCCTCTGGAACTACTCAATCATTGTTCTTGATTTTCCATCTTTCCTACCTTCCTACCAAACCTTTCCATCAGTCTGAATCCTTTCAAAGGGAGGAATCTGTCTAGTATTGAGAGTTGAAGTGGGCTGTCAGAGGGTATTTGTTAAAATGGTTTTCGTGTGAGGGGAAAATGATTAAGGAAGAGTCTAGTTAATTGCCATTTCTCTTTATCCACGTTGAGATCCCCCTACCACAGATGCAGAGAGGCAGCCTTGGCGGGGAGGTTTCTTCCAGGTGCTTCTCTTTGCAGCCCAAAGCCAGCACCACCTAAGTGAGCAGTATCCCTGTGACACCCAGAATGTGGGTGTTGTCGGCACACCTCTGGGACTGTCATTCTCAGCTGTCCCAGGTATTTGGGTCAGATGTTCCAGAAGGCTGAAATGCACCACCTTTATTTCCTACACAGTGTATAAGTGTGATATACCTTTATGATAAGAGAGAAAACTACTTAAAACGCTGCTAGAGAACTTGTCTGCCCCCGTTACAGACACAAATCTATTCATCCATTTCCTTCATATTCACCACTTTTAACCTGCCAAGTTTACAGAACTTTGCTCTCTTGTTGACCATTCATTCCATCCTTAAAATTCTTTTCTTGATTCCTGGGACACTATTTGATTTTGGTTCTCTTCTCACCTGTTTGCCCACTCCTTCTCACTCATTTCCCTTCCTTGCTCGTCCCCAGGTTTTTATCCACATCTCTTTCATGCCAAGCCAATTAATTCCTAAGGATTGGGTGAATATTACCTATCTACCAGCCCAACTTTGCTTCTGACTTCTGGCTCCATAGTGCCAATCTCCTACCTGGATGTCCTATGGGTAGGGTTAATTTTTAGTCAGTCTACACAGGTACAGCCTCATCAACTGTTTATTGGTGGTGTCTGTTTGAACCAGTCAGGCAGCCATCCTGACTAATCCCTGTCTGTATCTCTTGGTTGTTAAATGTTTTTAATATCAGCCCTGCCTGTAGGCCCCTCAATCTCAGCATACCCAAAACTGAACACATCACCTTCTTCCCCAAATCCACCCTTCCGACAGTATCCCACAGATAGAAGGCCCCGGAATTGGACCAAGATCTGTGGGCACTCCAGGAAGACACCTCGAAATGGATTTTCTTTACATATTTGTTCAACATCTATCTGGTGGAGACAGGAAGAAACCAATTGAATATTCTTAAATTTATTTTCAATCAAGGGCTCTACAGCATATAATATTGAAAATCAGAATATGTCTAAGGATCTATGACATACCATTTAAAATGTAAATGGAAATGATGGAAATTCTGCATCTTTGTGGTGATGGTTACAGTACCTAGTCCATATACATACCATATACGTTTGTCAAAACTCATCAAACTGTATACCTAAAAAGGGTGAGTTTTTCTGCATGTAAACCATACCTCAATAGACCTAACTTCAAAAATATAAATAACAAAACTGATCATTTCCAATAGATAGCTTTATACAATGCATTATTCAGTTCTAGAATTTCAGCTGATTGCAACTGCTGACTTCACACATTGGTGTCAGGCTTGGTGGCTTGCATGCTGCAAAAATAATCAACAGAGATAAATCAGAACTAGCCAGAAAAACATTTTCCCACTTGACAGCATTATTTCGTCTTAGTGTGGGAAACAGAAATGACCAATTCACATTCCTATAGGATTCAAGGAGCTGATATGGAAACCAGTTATTTCAGATTCATTCCAGTAAATTTAGCACCTCCTACAGTTTGGCACCTGGGCAACACCCCTTAGTGGAGCAGAGGACTCCTAAATAGGAAAAGTAGTAGATAATGCTGACAGATTATGGCCAATTCACATAGGACTTTAACTCCTAGGCTTACCTATTTGATTTCCCTTAGACAGACAATTTGAATAGAAAATTAATATGATCAAAGCAGTGTCTCAGGAGATTAATCTGGAAGTGGAATACAGACTCAATCAGAGAAGGAATAAATCAGGGTAAGGAGCCCACTTAAGAAGCTCTTGCATGAATACAAGGGTAAAAACTGATTAAAGGCTTTAGTCTTTAGTAGTGGAGACTAGAAGTTAAGAGATGGTTCAAAGGACATTATAAAGAAAGAAACTGACCAATTAGTGATAAGGAGTCTAGTATTTTAAACCCAGTTGTGAGGGTTCCAACACCCATTATAACCCTGAACATAGGATTCAGAGAGAAAATGTGATGTTTATTCTGAAATCATCTTACCCAAACATTATTCCTTTAAAGAAGTCAACTTTCACCAATTCTCCTACCCACCTGACGTTCTCCTTCTTCATGTTCACTCCAGTTATAACTGAATCAGAGAAAGAAAGAGGGCATTAGAAAGCATGTGAAGCATGGTCAAATCTGATTACTTATGTCTTCAACTCCCTAAAACCAAAGGGAGTTAGATAAATTAGATTTGGTTAAAATTTATGGTGGACTCTTAAGTCATCTCCCATGAGAGACAGAGAGGAGATAAAAGTAAGGAGATCTATAATGAAAAAAAAGGACAGGAAGCAAATTGGAAAAGAAGCACAGAGGACATCCTCTGCTCCTCACAGTAGGGAAATAAACTTAGTTCCACCAATCTAGACAGCCCTAGAGGAAACAAAGCTAGAACAGCTTATACCAAATGTCCAAAATCACATTTCAGTCATCTCTACGAAGACATGGCTAAATTACGCTTTAGATTGTAAATTACTGCTTTGAGGAGACTCTACTTACAGCAGTCAAGATCTTCATCACTGCCTGAGTCCACAGTAATAACGGAACTGCAAAATAAAATACATTCTGTTTTAAAGGAAAGCTACTAACAGTATTAGCAACCAAGTGTCAAAAATCTCATATGAAAAGAACCACCAATCTGAGTTTCTGAAATGTAAAAAGGCCTTAAGGGCTTATGAAATGAAGATCATAGTAGTGGAAGAGAAGAAAAATTAGAAGCCACAAGCTGCTCAAAGCCGCTGTGTGCTCTACTGCACAAAGTCAGGGGAAAAATGTTAGTTGAGTATCATTAGCTATCAGTGAGAAGCCTGTTTTCTGCCCAGTGGTATATTTCTATTTAAAGATAGGAGGACTTCCCTGGTGGTCCAGTGGTTAAGACTCCACATTCCAATGCACAGGGAGCAAGTTCAAATCCTGGTTGGGGAACTAAGCCCACATGCTTTGAGGTATGGCCAAAAAGTAAAAAATAAAGTTAAAAATAAAAATAAAGATATGAAAGTAAATTCCAAGAAAGGGACCACAGGGAAAAGGATGAGGATACAGAGATTACAGTTAAAAATCAAAAGGGCAAAAGAACAAGGGGGACACTTTTGGGGCTTTGCTGCTTGAAGAGGATCTACTGATTGGGATTGCTATCTGAGTAAATGCACAAATGCTGAAGCGCATTTCTTAGGGGAGAAAAACAGAGGGTGACTTCAAGCCTGCAACTGCTCCCTGTGGTGAACCATGGCATTGGGTCCGTTGCTTCCCTGCCTCACAATTTGCCATAGGCCCTAGCACTCGTTCTATCCCAGCTAGCAGCAGGCTGCTTGGCTGGTTGTTCAAGCTTCACATTACAGTCAGCTCTCTGTATTGAAGGGTTCCACATCTGCTGATTCAACCAACCTCAGACAGAAAACATTCAGAAAAAAAATATGCCAGCAAGTTCCAAAAAGCAAAACTTGAATATGCTACGTGATGGCAATTATTTACGTAGCATTTACATCATTGTAGGTATTATAAGTTATCTAGAGATGATTTAAAGTGTATGGGAGGATGTGCATACATCATATACATGTATCACAGTTTTATGTAAGAGACTTAAGTATTCAAGCATTTTGGTATCCAAGAGGAATCCTGGAAGCAATCCCCACCCCACCCCAGATCCTGAGGGACAACTGGACTATCTGAGGTGACACCAAAGCACATTCCATCTGGGGGTCCTTTAGCTCACCAGATAGCAAGTGACTGGACATCCCCTAAATTAGCCACTCATGATGATTCGGAGAGTCTCAAAATCCAGCTCAGAAAAGCCATACTGGAGCCAGGTTCCAATTCTAGGACCTACTCATGGGTAATCTTATCATGAACTATTGTGACATACAGCTAACAGAGGAAAGTAAATTGCTGAAGAAATTGGGCATCATAGCTCTAAGGTTTAACATATATTTAATATTGCTTTACATATTTATTAGGTTTTACAAAATATTTATAACATTTTACATATAAAAATCAGCCTTAACCACTTCTTGTAGACTTTTATTTTGGCCTTGAGATTGATTACTGGACTGATTATATACCTTTTAAACACACATGTTGGCTCACTCCCTTGATTAAGTTTTCTATTCATTTATTGGTCATTGTACACTGGACTTATTCAATAGTAGGCTTCAAGTCATTTTTGTTCAATCAAGAATGAAATCTCTTGGTTTCCTAGGTATGGGTCAAAACATGACTTTGGTTATATGAAATCTATTATCAATATACATCACTACATATAAACTAAAATGTGATTCATACGTCATCTATCTTTTCACACACTGCTATGTTACACACACACATACACACACACACACACACACACACGCATTTTCTTTAGAGGTCAAACAAAAGGAATCGGGGATCAGAAACAGGACACAAAAAGTTATACAACAGAGTTGCACTCTAATCCCCAAAGAGAAAACACTGAATTCTGGGTTGGCAGGTAACCACACAGGAAAAGTAAAAAGGTTTAAGGACAGCACTAAGGAAGAAATAGGTGGTCAAAAAAGTAGAATGTAGTACCCTTTTCAAGTAAAATTTATGACCAGGCGTACAAGTCCCTAGAAAGTGTTTCAAGACTCATGTCACTATATTAGAAAATATATGCACCTAAGAAAAGCCATTTGGCTTACCCAGAACTCTACCATGGAAGGACTAAGAAATCATATTAGAAGGCTTTGAAGATATATCAAATAAAAGCCCTTGAAAACTTTTAAGTACCCAGAGATCTTCCCTTTAAAACTGAAGCCATAAACCATATAGATTATGCTTTCCTATAACTACAGAAAGATATAAAAGAATCAATAAAGTTATTAATAATTATTACTTCAAAAGAATGGGAGGGTGTGTACATGTGAGATGGACTTTCACTTTTTACTTTAATGTTTCTGTATTGTTCATTTTTAACATGGGCCTGTATTCTACTGGTAATTTCTGAAACAATAAATATGGAATAATTAAATAGGATGGGTACATCTATGGTTCATTCATTCCTGCATGCTTATTGTGTGGTAATCATAACAAAACAAGGAATCTTGCGCTTAAATAAAAAAAAAACTACTCAGTGAGCACCAGAGAGTATGAATTAGGCTTTGATTGCTCAGTGAAAACCAGTACCCCACTCTTTGTATTATGTATCTCAGTAGCATTTCTGCCGTCAGACTGCCAAAACGTCCTCAACGACCTTGTCCCATAAATCACTGGGAAAATAAGAGGCAATCATGCAGGAACACCCTCATCCGCCCACCAACAAATCTACTGACCTGTCTGTAACTATAACCGACTCTGCCTTAACAAGGAATGCAGTGTCCTCTCCACTATCTAAGGCCATACCTTCCCTTATTCCTTGGATCTCTCCCCTGCAGCCTTCTCAAGGAATTGCTTCCTGCCATCTTCGATGCTGTGCTGCAGGACTGACTCCTCTCTCCTGGGTCATTCATCCTACTATCCCTAGACCCCATGTCCTCCAATCTTGTATTTCTAGCCTTGAACTCTCCACTGAACTCTACCTATGTGACATCTTGGATATTTACTAAGTATTTAAAGTGTGACATGGCCAACACAGATTTTTTTTCATTTTGTCCTTTCATTCTGTTCCTTTACAGTCTTACTCATCTCAGTCAATTGCACTACCATCCAACCAGTAACGCAACCAAAAAATTTAGGAGTCATCCTTGATTTTGCTCTCTCTTACCTCTCATGTCCAATCCATCAGCAAGACCTATTGGCTCTACTTCTAGAGTGTATTTCACCTAACCTAATACATTATTATAAGTACCTCTAAGAAAGGAAAAAACACTACCAAATGATGACATGCTATCAAATGTATGAAGCAGGCCCCCGGCCCTCGTGGCGCTGCCGCCCGCCCAGACCCGGAGCGCGGCCGCGGACGAAGATGGCGATCGCCATGTACTTGGAGCACTACCTGGACAGTATCGAGAACCTTCCCTGTAAGCTTCAGAGGAACTTCCAGCTGATGCGAGAGCTGGACCAGAGGACGGAAGCCATTTCTCTCTCAGATAAGAAAGCTGAGATTGACATCCTGGCCGCGGAGTACATCTCCACCGTGAAGACGCTTTCCTCAGACCAGCGCGTGGAGCACCTGCAGAAGATCCAGAGCGCCTACATCAAGTGCAAGGAGTACAGTGATGACAAGGTGCAGCTGGCCATGCAGACCTATGAGATGGTGGACAAGCACATCCGGAGGCTCGATGCAGACCTGGCTCGCTTTGAGGCAGACCTGAAGGACAAGCTGGAGGGCAGCGACTTCGAGAGCTCTGGAGGACGGGGGCTAAAAAAAGGTCGAGGTCAGAAAGAAAAGAGGGGCTCCAGGGGTCGTGGCAGGAGGACCTCAGAAGACGACACCCCAAAGAAGAAGAAGCATAAAGGAGGGTCTGAGTTCACCGACACCATCCTGTCTGTGCACCCCTCCGACGTGCTGGACATGCCCGTGGACCCGAACGAGCCCACATACTGCCTGTGCCACCAGGTGTCCTACGGGGAGATGATCGGCTGCGACAACCCGGACTGCCCCATCGAGTGGTTTCACTTTGCCTGTGTGGACCTGACCACGAAGCCCAAAGGAAAATGGTTCTGTCCGCGGTGTGTTCAGGAGAGGAGAAAGAAGAAGTAAGGCTGGGGCGGACACTGGACCAGAAGAGCAAGTTAATATATTCCCTCATTCATGTTGCAATATTTTACATTCATTTTAAAACTATCTTGTTTCCGACAATATTTAATAGCTCAACGGCCAGTTGTCATTCTGGATGTTTCCTTGAACAGACAAGAAGCCACCTGAGCCCTGTTGCACAGAGGAGCAATCTTAGGGGACCTGCCACAGTGACTCCATTCTTGTGACTTTCATACAGACCCCTGGCCCTGAGCGTGGCGGTCACCTCCAGTGGCCCCGGGACTCCATGGGGTGCGTGGCTGGTGCACTGCCATCGCATTGCATCCGGAGCCGTGAGTCCCGGCGTCCGGCTGGCTTCCTGGGGCTGCTCGCCGAGGCCCTGGTGCCCCCGCGGGCACCCCTGAACCTTGCCAGGAGCGAGGGCCTATGGAGCCCAGGACATGCCAGAAGGGCCAGCCCTCCCCAGGCGGGGGCTCTGCCTCACTGTGCACTGCCTTCGCCTTCGGACTGCCTGTTCTCTCCATGAGGGGTTTTCTTTCCGGAGTAAACGACTCTCCATTAGCAAACGGGCTTGTCGGTGCCGTGACAGGTACGGATAAGGGACAGCCCAGCGGAAGGGCCGGCGGTCTGTTTCTCCGGTAATTCTGACTCTGTACTGTGAAGATGAGTTATTGTGGTAGCATGAAGATAGTGCTCTGTGTGAATATGAAGTGAGCCCAGGCTGCCGGGAGCTGACCTGAGACCTGTTGACTTGCACAGCAGGTGAGCCTCTCAGACTGCAGGGTGACAATTATGTGATGTGATTTGTGAGCTTCTCATGCCACAGGAGCAGTTTTGCGTGAAGCCAGGAAACCCGCGTGTCTTTCCTCCGCAATCAGCACGCGGCCTTGGACCTGC